AATTATCTGACTAAAATGATTGGAGAATGTGCCCAAGGGGTCATGTTCTGAAGAAGTCCCACAGCTCTTGGTTTGAAACCTTATCAATGTGGCTCTTCTGCTTCCGAGCTCTTAAACAAGAGTATGCACCCGGACCGGATGAGGCATGAAGGACCAGCCTAGGAAAGTTCCATCGGATCTGTGGCAATCCCATTAGTGAGATGGAGATATTTTAAGGTTGGCTGCGAGTATGGTTGGGCGAGCACCGGGTCTTTCCTCTCCGAATGCAAATGGCGATGAGGAGAGGTCAGCTAATCCATTCTAATCAACTTTGGTGCAGCACTTTAGGAATTCATTAGTAAACAACTGGAGGGAAAAGGCATCTCAACAATGGCAAAATAGCCTTGATTACCATTCACAGGGATTTGCTCTGGACACTCGCGTTAGGTGTGAGATAAAGAGGTTGATTAACACATAGCCAAAGGGTCTCCTCTATTTAAAAAAAAGCTGTTCCACAAGGGAAATGGTGTTTTTGCGGATTTAAATCCCATTCACCAAAAAAAACAAAAAACATTTATTAACATTTATTAATAAAACATTAATTATAATTAAAAAACATGAATAAACAACATTTTGTTTATTAATGTTAAAACATATATATATATATAATTGAGACAGTCTTATTGTTGAGCCATGATCCTTGCAAATGTGTCTACTTTTCCAGAACATTTATATCAAATTCTTGCAGATCTTGTCATTGAGGGTCACAATAAATCTATCTACTCCATGAATTAAAATGTTTCTAGTCGTCGAAATAACACACAGGGTTTGTACCAGCCATCTTACAAATGCCAATAAATCCTGTGATTATTATTAATGATTTTTTCCACCACATTGATTTTTGGCATCTTGTTATTCCACATTAGGACAGAGACAGGCCTTGTTATATGTGACCCTGGAGAGCATGCAAACTTTTTCAAAGTTAAAGTCACAAGGTGTAGAAAATTGAATGGGATTAGCTGGCAGACACACGTTGACAGCTTGTTGAGCTTAGGTTAACGCGGTAGTTTCAGTAGACAACGTGCTTCACGCTCATGTCAGTGTTTACGCTGACCATAACGATTTGAAAGCTGTGCAATTGCACTCATAAAGCGTGACCTTGTACCACAGAACTTGTGCACTGTGTGCAGATCAGTGTTGGGCAAGTTACTCTGAAAATGTAATCAAATTACTGATTACTGATTACTCCTTTTAAAAGTAATCACGTTACTGTTCTGATAACTTCATTTCAAAAGTTATTAGTAATTAGTTACATTACTAGTTACGTTACTTTTTTCTCCATGAAATTTATGAAATCCCAGCATACACGCTCCTGATAAATATTTGTTATTAAAGCATCAACATTCACAGAACACTGTTATTTTTAACTAAAGCAAGCGGCTGCTGCGTGCATGGTTTGGCATGGCAGAATACCAGCAAAGAGCGCTGCATTTATAATCTCTAAAAGACATCTCAGTTCATCGCAATCTCACAAATCTCTAACACAATAAAAATATGCATAGTGAATCGTTCATAATGTCTACAATCCATGTGTTATAATGAGAGAATTCGTGAGCATGCAAATTTCAGCACTGCATTGCTCAACGCTGCAAACACGTGTTATAGCCTAAATAGAAACTCTGCATACGCTTGCACCTGTTAATCGTTTATATTTTATATTAGTTCATGTTACTTTTGTGCAATAGATGAATAACAATTTAGTCCCGTGAATCATTTTATTGTCCCGCATCCCGCACCAGCACTCGCCCATCTTCTCCCGCGCCGCACTCTGTACATTTTTGTCCTTTATTAAACTACACTGTGTATAAAGCAGAATCATTTTTATTAAACACCTTCGGGATGGTTCATTTTCCCTCTCTCACTCTGAATATTAAATCCAGCCGCCCCAGCGAAGCGTTCTCGTATATTTTGTTAGCAGTGGATTTGCACTGACTAGAATAAATGTAGTTGTATTTGTTTCTGAGTTTGAACTCCTAGCATAACGTTCAGTTGCAGATGCATTATATAATGGTTTGCAGTGATGCTTGTAAAATAGGATTTGCTCTTTTTCAGTCAGAATGACCTCACAAAAATGTACTGCAGTGATACACTGGTACAGTAATGTTAACAGATAGTAATACCTTGGTACATGAATAGTGTAATCATAGCCTAGATGAAAAGTACTTTAATGAAAGCCATGGTATTGCCATGGCATGTCGAAAAAAACCATGGTTTTACCATAGTACTTCTTCAAAAAACATGGTAATAGTTTGATATATATGCCATCGAGTTATCATTTCCATGTTCAGCTACCATGATATTTACATAGTATTCTAGGGTGGATTGAAGAATATCATGCTTTTTCCATGGTTCATGTCCAGAAATGGCACTGAAAAGGCCCATGATTTCCATTATTCATCTACGTTATATTTACATAGTACTCCAAGGCAGATAATACTCTAGGAGAATATGGTATTAGCATGGTACATATCCAAAAACATTAATAAAATGGTATTACCTCTTAAAATTTCATTATAATTTTTTTTAAGTATGATATGATGTGGCAGCATTGAAACAGTTGGAATTAGTCAAATTAGTTGTCAAATTAGTGCATGATATCTTGTGACAAACATATGAAGCTGTAATCTGTCCCTGTTGAGTCTCTGAAGGTTAGCTGTAATCTGGAATGGTGTGAGTCCAGGAGAGCAGGACTGCATGATGTTCGCTCCACCTCAGAGGACAACATCTCAGAAGCTCCTTCCTTCCGCCCCATAATTTCACCGGTGGATCGGATGCCAGTTTGACATTTCTGTTTCTGTTTTGTGACATTTGGTTGACTGAGTGGAGATGGCAGGGACAGGTAGTAGCAGGTGAGGCTGAGGGAGAAAAAGACCTGTCATCTCCCCGGTTATCACAGCAGTGTGCAGATTTCCAAATGCCCTCTTTTCAAACAGCAGAGTATGTATTAAATGTAATGGTGTGACATGGCAGTTTGGAGCTGCAGGAGAGCTACTTTCCAGTGCTGCAGGCTCCCCGGCTCTCTTGTTTCCAGTAAGATCTCAAACAGGTGACTTGAAAGACAAATGGACTCTGACATTTAACATGAGAAACATAGGACTGTGTCAGAATTGTTTCCCCCAGGTGGCCAATGGGGAGCTGCATTGAAACAGATTTTTATAAGCACGCTTAGATGTGTTAGACAAGGATTTTTTTTTTTTTTTTACATCAGAATGGTTGTAACTTCATTTTAAGTGACTTTTTTCCCCACCCTCACTATGGCTTTTTGAAATGGCTTTTTTTCCCCCCCATGTGCAAATTATGTCTGTCATTGGATAACTCAGTTACTGTAGTTGTTTACTTGAGTTCATTATGACGGGCCAAGCTGCTAAATACTGAATAGGCCTTCATGGTAAGTGTGGACTGAAGGAGTGAACAATATATAAAATCTTCACAATATATTTGTGATGATTTTGCTGATGATATAACAGGATTTAACATTTTGGAAATTACAATGATTATAATGAGCTTTTAACTGTTATTGTTCCTTGAAGGTCATGCTAGTAAACTAGTTCTGTCATGACAACTCTCAGAGAGTTTAGCATGGTAATATACATAGCATTTTTTATGTGTTTGGTCTTGGTGGAATAGATCTGCTACGCTGCTGCGGTAGACCAAGTACAGCGACTTGCTACTGCCAATACATCCACAGACATGCTGCTGTGAGCATGTAGGAAATACTGCTGCAGCACATATATGAATATACCCCCCAGCAAAGCAGGAGATACAGATATGGGCAATACAAGCCAATATATGCATGTTGCTGAGTGTAAGAATATATACTGCTGCATCAGCGGACAAGGAAAGGTCTACGCACATGGAAAGAATGAAAACAGGACATAATAGAACAAAACACCCCCCAAACAAGCAGATCTATTGCCAAGACATATGTACTGCTGCTGCTCAATATGAATTACTATACTGAATTACTAACTATTTGTGCCTGGGATACCATACTGAACATCTCAATGCAAGATAATTGTCATTGACATAACTTTTATATTCTTATTTGTGTATTAAAGCCATTAGGACGATACAAATAGTGTGCCTGTGACGTTTAAATCTAACGCACATTCAGCACAGCTAATGAAAATATCACCCTTGGAATTAAAGAACATGACATTGAGGTTATGCAGCTTAATATGTTTGTTATACTCCTGTTAAAGTGTATACAAACACGAACGCTTATTTCATTTAAACCTGTTCTCATGTTCATAACTTGTCGGCGTGTCCTCACAGCAATTACATACACTAGACTGCTTGTTGCTGCAGCTCTAAAACGTTTCAGGTTATGCATACAACCATGAGAATAGACGCTGCGTCCCCTAGAGGGTGCTTTGGGGAATGCCTCTGGCATTACCCGTGTCTGAAGCATGGGTCTAAACATGACAATGAACTTGACATTGGCAGGATGCAGCTTATGATGTCACAACTGGTGAGGCCGAGAGTATAAAAGGGCACCTGTGAAATATGTCATCCACTTCTTGTCTGATGGAGACATACGCAGGAATGCCTGATGCATGGCAAAGGGACTCAGTGTCTCGTTCCCTATTCTCAGGGAACCATGGTTACATGCATAACCTGAGACATTCCCTTTCGAAAGGGAACTTGCGCTGCGTCCCCTAGAGGGTACTATGGGGAACGACATACCCACGCCGTCATGCTGAAGGGATGAGTGCCTTATTGGCTGAGCTAAGTCAAAGACTCAAAGGATTCCTCACCCCTACTCAAGCAACACGATCATAGACTGGAGCTTCTCAAGAATGGAGGCCTCAGCAGGAGAGAAAAAGCCTAACTACATTCTTATTCAGGCCAGCATCCAAGGAGGCTCACAGACAGCCTAACACTCAGAGCTAACTGGCCCGCGAAGCTCTGCAGAGTGGAGGCCTAAATATACCACCAATATACCACCCAGAGAGCCTAACAACTTAGCATACTACCCTACCGCCTAGCCGAACTCTAGGAGCGGAAGCCTCAGTATGAACAACTCTCCAAATCAAGAGATGAGCTAACAATGCCCCACACTCAGGATATCTTGTAAGGAGGCTCACAAGGAGCCTACTAATCACATTACTCATTGAACGGAGCTCTGGAGAGCAGAGGCCTAACAATACTCACAGTATCCAAGGAGGCTCACAGAGTTAACTTGGCAAACCTGCTCTGGTTAAGAGTAAACTTGGGTCACAGATAGAACACAGATAGAAAGGTCACGAAGCACCTAGCACGTGGCCTTACCGTAAGCATGGGTTTCAGAAAAGGCACGAAGCAGTCAGCACGTGCTCTTACCATAAACATGAATTTTAGAGAAGGTATTTCAGCATGACGACACTCTAAAACTAGGGGAGGCCCAACTACACCACATGTTCAGGACATCTTGTACGGAGGCTCAAAGAGAGCCTCCAACTCACAGATGCTATCCAAGTGGAGCTATGGCTTGCGGATGACTCAATGAAGATAACTCTCTGCAGTGAGAGGAGGCCTGACGAAGCTCGCTCGCTCAGCATGATGACTCGATAAAATGAGAAAAGACCTAACTACACCCCACGCTCAGGACATCTTGTAAGGAGGCACACAGAGAGCCTACAACTCACAGATGCTGTCCTAGTGGTCTGGCGAGCAGAGGCCTCAATAAAGATAGCTCTCTGTATAGCAAGAGGATGTCTGATGATGCTCACAGTAGCCACGGAGGCTCACAAAGAGCCTAACAACTCAGCAAACAATAACCGAGCTCTAGGAGCGAAAACCTCAGCATAACTACTCTCTAAATCGAGAGGAGACTTAATGACATCCCATGCTTAGGATACCATGCAAGGAGGCTCACAGAGAGCCTATAACTCACAAACACTATCCTAATGGAGCTCTGGGCAACGGAGGCCTCAATAAAGCTAACTCTCTGTAAAGAGAGGTGGCCTGACAACGCTCACAATGGTCAAGGAGGCTCACAAAGAGCCTAGCAACTTAAACACAAACCAAGATCTGGAAAAGAAAGCCTCAGCATGACAACTCAAAATCAAGAGGATACTAATGATATCCCATGCTCAGGATACCATGCAAGTAGGCTCACAGAGAGCCTACTACTCGCAATGCTATCCTAACGGAGCTCTGGGGAGCTGAGGCCTCAGTAAGATAACTCTCTCCGGCAAGAGGAGGCCTAGCAACGCTTGCGGTAGCCAATGAGGCTCACAGAGAGCCTAACAATTTACGCCACTGCGTGATGGAGCTCTGAGGATGGAGGCCTCAGCATAACAATTCTCTAAGATGAGAGGAGGCCTAACTACATCCTATACTCAGAACAGCTTACCAAGGAGGCTTATAGAAAGCCTAACAATTTGATGATGCTATCAGAGCGGAGCTCCTGACTGAACCTTCCAGCAGAAAATAAAAACCTAAATGGCCAGGTCAGAGCCAGCTACTGAGAAACAGAAGAGAGGCATCGACACATTTCCACCAAATATGGAATCCCTTACGATCTCTCTACCTCAGCATGGAGATCAAAGGAAAAACAGAAGGCTCACAGGGACTGGGAGTATGTACAGACCGAAATTGTTTTCCATAAAATCTGTCTCATGCAGCCAAAACAGATCTAACCTGTCATTGGTGCAAGCTATAACTTTAATAATAACTACAGTATTTTTCTGTCTCTAATTCCTCAGAATTAGACACATAAAGAACAATAATGTTATTTGGAGTCAACAAGAGGAGCCAAAAAAGGAAAAGTCCTGTTTGACTTGTCTGCGCTCTGCCTACAAACCCTGAGCTTAATCCCACCTCACCGTAATGGAGGTCGTGGGACCCGACCGTGGGGTGTAGGCACTCAACTCTCATCCCTCAAGAGAGAGTCAAGCCCTGGTCGAACCAATTACTGCAATTGCATCATGGAAAACGTGAAATTCTATCACTAGTCATACGAGAACAGACGTGAATGCATCGCTTTAAATGCTTTATAGAGAGCCGAACGTGCTCGTACAAATGCTAACTACTTTCCCTCAGGAGAGAGCAGAAAGGAAAGCGTTCCTTACCTGTATCTTGTAGTAAGTCTCGTGAATGCATCATACCTATCTCATCCAGCTTGCTCGAAGATAAGACAGCATTCCACCCAAAAGCGCGTCCCACATTCCTCGAGAATAGGGACGGCTTGAGTGGAGCTTTCCTTGAGAAATCCTTTCAGTGCACACATTCTGCTCCCTCAGGAGCTAAACGTGTGTGCTCCTAACTCATGTACAAACAAACAGTCTCCTGAAGACAAGAAAGAGGATGACATTTATCACAGGTGTCCTTTAAAACTCTCAGCCACACCAGTTGTGACACCATAGGCTGCCGCCTGCCAATATCAAGTTCCATTGTCGTGTTTAGACTCATGATTCAGACACCGGTAATGCCGGATGCATTCCCCATAGTGCCCACTAGAGGATGCAGCGCGAGTTCCCTTTCAAAAGAGAAGCAAAGTTGCATAAATGGTTGTAAGCTTAGTATTTTGCTCCTGCATACGAATGCAAGACTGTTAATCATGACACATAGTTTAAAACTTGTTTTATGGTTGATATAGATAAAGAAATTAATAAGGCAGACTACGCAATATGCACAGTGAAGCGGAGTAAAAGAGCGTTCACTTATCTTAGTTGTTGATTTCAGATGCTTGCTGAAGCACGCTGCAACTGCTACAGCAAGCACTAACCAAGTACTTGAATGTTGAGCATCAAGCTCATTGGCTGCTGATGTGAAAAGAAACCAATCATCTGCGCCATGTGAACGATGATGTAATTATATCAGATTGAGTTAGAACCTATCAGCCTGTGCCATCTAAAGTTTCATGAAATAACTTTTTTATTTTTGTGAGTTTTAATAATGTCTTTGAATTGCACATAAAATTAATTTCAGTGAATTAGTTCAAACTGTGTGTTTCAATGAATCAGTTCTTATTTCAGAACTCTGATTTAATGATTCGTCACTCAATTTCTGATGTGGCATTTTTTTACATATTCACAAATCTTTTAGTGAAGGATTAAGTATTGATTTAGTGAAAAAAAGTGGTTTATTGTTTTTCTTTGTTGGTATTAGAGATTTGTTGTGACTTCAGTTTGAGACCTTTGAAATGTTGTGGGTGGTACCGCAGTCATGTTGCCGTGGAACATATTGTACTATTTGATCCGTCTGTGCCAAATAACCTCCTGAAAGGCTTCCTAGTGGCCGCACAATATTTGGCCTCCATATAGCTGTCATGAGTCATGATTTATTGATTCATTTTTGGCATGAGTTATGGGAATTTGTGCCATGGCACTGAAAATGAATAGCATAGGATTATATTCCCTAGATGGCACCTGAATATTAATCAGATACCTTATAATTTACAGTGGGTACGGAAAGTATTCAGACCCCCTTACATTTTTCAGCTCTTTATCACTGTTAATTTGCCATGTTGTGACACTCTTGCTTCTGGATGGCCGCATGAGCTCATGCATTAATTTTATCAATATTTAAAACACATATGACATACATAAAAAAATAAAATAATAAAAAACAAACAGAGTAGAAATGCTAGAAGTAGATGACGGGAAAAAATAACATTACTTGCTTTAATTTTCACACTGACAGCAGGCTGTTTTACGCCGCTGCCGTCAGCGCACACAGGAGCAAGAATGCGTGAAGAGTGCAAACTGTCATTTCTGTCCTGATGAAAAAGAATTTCAAACTCCACTCAGCATATAAATTGTCTGGGCTCTCGTGTGATGATCGTGGAGGTTGTAGAGAGGGAAGTAAGTAGAATTGAGAGCAAAAGGGAAATCTTGCCCATCTGCATGCTTCCTGTAGTCATTTGCCAGCGATTATATCCAAGAATAGCAGCTGCCATTAGTGTCCACAGCATTTCCATCACTCATAATCTTTTTGAAAGCCTGTCACGTTCACGAAACGCATGAATTCCTACTTTATCAACAGCCATACACATTTTATGAAATCTTTAAGTGGTTTTATGAAGATGACAAATGTAATTTCACATGCTATCAGAATCCGTTCTGCTTTGCCGCCGTCATCCGATGACCTTTTGTGCCATGTGTGCTAAAAGACTCAAGAGACAAGATTGTGCACTGTCAGTAAATGGTAGAAGACATCCTGGATGATACACATGCATGGCATGTGTAAATATTTCAGAGCTCTAACATTTTATCAGCGGCTCATTCTAAGATCCCGGAGGTGAACGTGTTCCCGAAATGTTTCCGCATCGGTGCTCCGAAAGCGGGTGACCAGAGCATGTCGCCACCTGACATGGGATGCAGATCGGCCCAGGCCGGTGTACCATGTCAAGACCGGCATAGAGTCGAGGTCAAGCTCACCTCACACTCCTGACCCCTCTCTCTCAAACACAGGGCTCCGGAGATCCACCTGTCCAGATTGATTTCCGTAGTATAAAGGATCTTTTGGGCCTCAACAGACCTTCAGAAGAAACAGAACCCGGCTACATAAGCAGTTTTGAAGACCAATGCTGAACAATGGGAGGTTCTTCATGTGCATTCAGACTTAATCAGAATTTGTTTGTCCTTCTGAAACTGACCTCATTTTTAAGCTTTCATTAAATTCTAACATCAGCCCTAATGATTTAACTGTCTGAGAATGCTTTGCAGGTGTGTGTGTGTGAGAGAGAGAAATAAGACCACGATGTTCTCACACACACACACACACACACACACACACACACACACACACACACACACACACACACACACACACACACAC